GTAAAATCCCAAATAACAATGGTGGATCTCATGTCAAAATATTGAATATAATCAAAGTAGAGAGAGAGTAATGTGGAAATCATCTGCCACACAGGTAGGGAGAGGATATTGGATGGGGAGTATAAGGTTTTTGGTAGTGGAAAATGTGCACTGGTGAAAGGACGGGTGTTTCATCATTGTGTGACTGAGACTTAAACCCAAAAGCTTTGCAACTGCTCTAATGGTGATTAAATTAAATAAATTTAATTTTAAAAAAAGAAAAGAAAAAAAAGATGTGGACTGAGCTGCATCCTCACAGACCTGTAAATTGTGGAACCACCTAACACCACTGTTGGTAATCCAGCCGGGATGTGAGGTGGACTTGATGGATTACAACTCCCAGCTGGAAACAGCTCATGCCAGGACAAATTACTTGCTCCAGGCCTGGCATTTCCTCTTGTGAGCCTTCCAGGACAACATCTGCCCTAGACTGCATCTGTAACACTCAGACACAGGCACCACAGATTCAAGTTGGCTCAAAGCCCAGGATGAGATTGGCCATGCCAAGATGCTATGAGAAGTCGAAGCCCGGTGTGCAAGTAGAAAGGAAGAGAACTTCCCAGGCCCCTATCAGACTTGCCAGCCCTTGCAAAAGAGCTAGGTGAGGCCACTTCTCCACCCCCACAGCCTTCCCTATGGCTGAGCCTGGGGCTTGACCTGGGTATTCTTCTTTCTCAGGACATCGCCACTAAGACACCACGTGACCAACAGCACACCAGTCGTGATTTGGCTTTCCGTCTCCACTCAGCTCAGCTCTCTGGAGACCAGCCCAGGACTTATCGCACCTCCTCATCCCCATCATGCCTGTAGATGGGAGTGCCTTAGGGTTGGGAAATGAAAGGCCCCATGTCCCCTACCTCCTGCTGTCTAGAGCTAGAGTCTTCATTCTTAGAACCACTGCGGGAGGGCCTCTGATGTCCTGGCGTCCTGGCAAGATCCCTATGAGAACATTTTGGTTGTGTCCTGCACAAGGAGAGGGTAGGTGTGACCATCATAGGGCAGAAAGTCTCCAGCATCTGATGATGGGGAAGTGATGAAGAATGACAGAAGGGCAGAGGACAAGAGCAGCTGTGCAACATGCCAGTCTAGAGAAGATTGGACCCCTGCTCCTGAAGAGAAAACCAGTGGGCACACCACGGGTCATCCAGAAAAGAAATCCAGCCAATCAGCTGTCGACAAGATTTCCACCAATCAGAACTGGGATGAAAATTTGTTTGCATTCAGCAGAGCTGGACGTGTTTCAGTCCTTGGTCTCCCACAGAGAACCTGGGCTGAAATTTCAGGGCCTCAGAGACACGTTCTAAGTATCAATGCTTCGTGACTCTCCCGAGCTCATTGGAGAACTGTGCCAGAATTTGGAATGTCCAGCTGACAACCTTGGTGATGCACCAGAAATGGGAGATTGGGTTCTCGCTGAGGGTCCTAATATGCCAGATTCAATTACTGCCCACGGCATTTTTTGAACGAAAAAGACAAGTATTGAATAAACCTGTGGGGATCTGAATGGAAGAGCTTCCCGGTATGAATTTCGTGTTTGTCATTATGTAGCTCCCATCTCGGTTTTCCTGAGTTCTGCTCAGGGTCAATTTGATAAACCTCTGACCTTCCTGGACATTAGCTAATCTCAGGCAGAGGGTTCCTCCCTCACAGTCACCTGTAAAAGACCCCACTCCTTATCACACCAAATTGGGGTTAGATCATCTCAGCATGGGAAATGTGTAGAGACACAAACATTCGATCGGCTAATACCAGTGGGACGTGTGGTCTGTGAACTCAGAGACAGGCTCTAGGAAGCCCCATCACTTACCTGCGGGGTCACGTCTCAAACAAGCGCTTGGAACATTCCTTCATTTCTGTGCAGAGGGAAACTAGAGATGCAGCTTTTCAGTGGTGACATCCACCTGGCTTCCAGCAGGTGAGTTGGAGGAATGACTGCCAGCCGTGGTCCCAGCCTCCTGAGCTTGGTAAAGGCTGCAGGTCACAGAGTATCTGAGTGTCTGAAGCAGCCCCCTGCCCTGGGCCGAGAGCACAAAGCAGAAACAGTGCTTCAGGTGACTGTCCTTGGGTTGATTCACTGCTCTCCTGTCTGCAGAATGGCAGGGGAAGCCACTGAGGAGGGAACTCAAACACCACAGTTTCGTGTCCATCTCTGAGCCTAGAATGAGCCCCCCGCCAAGGCAAGAGAGAACTTTGTTTGCTTTTTTCCCCCTATTTCTATTTTTTGGCTTTCTGGGTCACACCCCGACAGTGCTCAGGTGTCATTCCTGACTCTGTGCTAGAAATTACTCCTGGAGGTGCATGGGGTACCTTATGGGATGCCAGTGATTGAAACTGGGTTGGCTAAGTGAGAGACAAACATCCCAACACATATACTCTCACTCCAGCCTGAGACTTTTGTTTTCTGTGCCTCTGCATGTGCTGGGGGCATCTGTGGGTGCCGTTGAAGTGGAGTTTCCCTGCATGAGCACCTGAAGTGACTCGGGAGGTGGTTGGAGAGGAAGATCCTGCCATCAAGCTGCAGCTTGCTTGAGCTTCCTTCCCTCTCCTTGTGGGCCTGCCTGAACAGTAGTATCTCAGTGTCTCCCCACCCCAGAGACTTCCCTCCCTTCAGTCCATGAGACCAAATGGATGGCAAGAAGTCTTGCCTTGAGTTAGGACTTACAAGATTTTTCTAAGATTGAGACAAATTGAGAGAGTGGTGTTTGTTGGAACTCATGACTCTTGGGTGGGCTACAGTCCCGGGATGTCAGCACAGGTGGAGGTTATACTGTGGAGTTCCTGCTCGTGCTTTGTGCATTACAGAAGAGCAAATGAATGAACTATGCAGATGCATGGCTCAGTGCTATGAAAAGGAGAATACTGTGGGTTGGAGAGAGTACAGAGGGGAAAGCCAAGATCTATAAGCAGTACAGGGTGAGCCCAAACCAACACTGTGGAGAGAAGACATACCGGTGCTTCGCTCTTCAACAAGAATCATCCAAACACTCTGAAACATTTTAGAGTATGGGATGTGGCAGCTGCGTGTGCCTTGAAATTTCTGTGAAGCTGCCAGTGTCTTTTTTCATAGTTCATTCTGTTTGTTGTATTGGGCCCACACCTGGCTAGGTCCACGAGGGCTTATGTGATCCTGGGGATTGAGTCCTGTCTCAGCATGCAGTACTCACACAGTAGCCATTTGAGGAAGCTCCCTGCTCCATAATACTATATTATTTTTGCAATCAGTTGGCCAATAAAGTGCGGTCTACACACAGCAGGGAGCTGATATCAATTTTCACAGTATAGCTAAAAAGTTGTTTTGCGGGTTGGGTTTTCTTTTCTCCTGGGGCCTAAGCTGGCAGTGCTCAGGGCTTACTCCAGGCTCCGTGCTCAGAATATCCACATGCATCCAACCACCATCCATGTTCCTTTGTATAAAGCATAGGGAGAACTTTCAGTATAATGTAGGGTGTAAATGTGCAACAAACCAGAAGAGTTTTAATGAGGTATTTTATTCACAAACACGCAGCACTGAGATGTTTGTATTTAAGGCAGTGCAATGAGTTTGTTCCCACTGATGTAAATAAGTCACTCCTACATAACATTGGAGAAGGAAAACAATCAGGCTAGTCTGATTGTTTCATTTTTGTTTAATATGCCCAAAGTACCTAGTCTGAGATGACAGTACTTTGGGCATATAAAACAAAAATGAAAAATATTGTGGTGTTTTCAAAGTGTGAAAATACTGTGTATGGCACTTTTCTGAAGACCCGAGGGGCATCTGTGTCACTGCAGAGCACAGAGAAACTGGGGTGATGGCGCATGAGCGTGAAGAAACAGATGGTGGGGAAACACGCAATGGGCAGCACCAAACACATTCACCAGCACCCAGCTGGGACTCGGGGAAAGGGTGAGACACACGTGGAAGATGGAAGAGAGGGCATACAGGGACACAAAGGTGCTGACCAGCACAAGGATGCTGTGGGTAGCCCTGGTCTCTGAGTAATCTGCAGGGGTGCTGCTAGTGGTGTGGACATGTTGGACTTGTCTCTTGTGCCTGTCCAACATGTACATCCTGGAGACACTTACTCACACCATATTGCCCAGAGAACAAAAGTCAGGAGTTATTAGCAATGTGAGAGTGAGCCAGTTCCTTATTTCATCTTGATTAGCGGTATAACAGTACCCAAGATTATTTTTTCTAGTGATATTTTTTTATCATTTTTTTATTAGTGAAACACCATGAGGTACAGTTATAGACTTATAAATTTTTGTGCTTGGGTTGCAGTTATACAATGATCAAGTACCCATCCCTCCACCAGCGCCCATCCTCCCCCACCACGGGTCCCAGCATCCCTCCCATCGCCCATCCCCCCCGTCCCACCCTGCCTCTGTGGCAGGGTATTCCCCCGTGTTCTCTCTCTCTTCTTTTGGGTGCTGAGTTTTGCAAGAGAGGCATTGAGTGGCAATCATGTTTGGTCTATAGACTACCTTCAGCATGTCTCTCCCACCCCGGGAGGATCCTCACAACACCCTTTATTTGGTGCTCTCTTCTCTATCTGAGCTTCCTTTTCACCTAGCACATGTGGCTGGCCTTCAAGTCATGGAGCAAAATTCCTGGTACTAATCTCAGCCATTCCTGGGGGTTAGTCTCCCGTTTTGTTGCTTTATGTCCCCCAGATGAATGCAATCTTTCTGTGTCTATCCCTCTCTTTCTGACTCATTTTGCTTAACACGATACTTTCCATGTAGTACCACTTGTATGTAAATTTCATAACTTCATCTTTTCTTTGTATTTGGGTCACTGTTTCTTTTGAGGTAGTAGAGCAGGTAGAGTGCTTGCCTTGCATGTAGCCAAACCAGGCTCAATTCCCTGGCATCCTCCATGGTCTTCTAACCCCCGAGCTAGGAGGAAATTCTGAGTATCACCAGGCATGACCACAAAAAACAAAATAAAATAAAATACACAGCACACGAAATCATGACTAATATGATAATGACAAAACCAGGCCTGTGAGGGGCACCTGGAGCTGAGCGAGCAGGGCCAGGTGCTCGTGAGAGAGTGGGGTGTAGAGCTGCTGCCTCCGTGCCTGCACCACATCCTCGTACACAGCCTGGGACAGGCAGCGCAGGGCCATCACCAGGCCTCGGCGGAGAGAGGGGCGCTTTTGAAGAGAGGGGTGCCTCTGACGAGCGGAGCGTTGTAGTCTGGGCGACTGAGACTTGAGCTTCTTGTTCACGGGGTTGCTGTTGGGTCCCGGTGACAGGGGCCTCCTCTGAGCTCTTTGGGAAGAGGAATCCTTGTGGGTCTCTTCACTGCAGCTGTGGTGGGCAGAGTCTGGGCCTTCTGGGAGACTGGCACCTAAATTCTCCCCATTATACTCTGCATCTGAGATGCTCCCTACAGAGGAAAAAGCTGGTCAGAGATGTGGCACCTCATTTCCTGAGGAACCTCTCAGTCCAGGACACAGCAGGACCTCCTCTCCGCCCCTCTAGCTTGTCCACAAGGATCCCTGGGTCTCCCAATGGGTTCCCCCATTGAACAACCCTCGAAAGACCTTGACTATGACCCACCCCTTCGCGGTCCCTGGGATCCTAAAGCAACACCCACCTGTTGTGTGGGGCGGGAGGCTCTCCCGTCTCCTCTGCCTCTTCCAGTCACTGTCTTCATCTTCCTCAGAGCTGTTTTCTGACTCTGACAACACAGTGAGAGTAAATCCCTGACACCCGGAGGCCAGGAACTCCCCCCAACCCCTAGACTACCCTGGGACACCATGTCCTCCTACCTGATTGGTCTGCGAAGCTGCTATCACCCCTGGCCTCATGATCCGTGTGCTTTTCCTCCATGCTCAGGGGCCCTGGACCTGCAGACAAATACAGAATTTGTGTGTCAGGCTGGTCCTGCAAGTCCCACAGAGGCGTTGCTCTGGACCCCAGCTCCGAGGCCACATCTAGGATTCAGGCACTCAGTCCATTCCAAGGCCTCCAAAGGGGTGGAATTTTGCCCCGCAGGAGGGGATTTCTTACCTTTCTCCCTCTCTGAGTTCCAGCCAGAACAGGCCTTCTGTGGGAATGGTGGCTTTACAGCGTGGTGGTGGAGCGCAGGGTCATGTGAGGGTGGAGGTCTTCAGATTCGGACGTCATCCTGAAGCCAAAGCAAGGTCCTCTCTCGGCCAGATCCAGGTCTTCACATCCGAAGCAAGGAGACCTCTTATCGGCCAAGCGAGGTCCTGAAGCCCCGCACACGCAGATGACCTTCACTGTCCCAGGTCCAGAGCAGGAGTGATGGATGAGGAGAGGACTCATCCTCTTATAGCACTGTGGGTGGGCGGAGCTTGCTCCTATTGGTTGGGAGATTTAGGCTTCTGCCCAATTCTCATTGCCCAGGTCTCACATTCCCTGGAACTGCGCCTGAGGCAGGGCTCAGTCTTTAGGGCGTGACACTCCTCTCTGCCCTCCTAAGCATATAATTCATCTTACAAATTGACATAATGACCGAGTTTGAAGAAAAGGGTCTGTTTCAAGAGGATGACTGAATATTGCCGAAATCTTAATGAAAGAATCAAATATGTAAACAGGCATATATGTCATCATGTTCTGTTAGTCTTTTTTTGTTTTTGTTTTTGTTTTTGTTTTCGGCCCACTCACCTTGGTGCTCAGGACTTGCACCTTCTCTGTGCTCAGGGATCACTCCTATATGGGAGTTGGAGAGATTCATGAGGTAAGGCGCTTTCCTTGCACATGGTGAACCCAGGTTCACTCCCTGGCACCACATATGATCCCCAGACAGCAGCAGGAGCGACCCGCCCCCCATCCCCCGTCCCCACCAACCCAGAGCTAGGAATCAACCCTGAGCACTGCAGGATGTGGCCCAAAACAAAAACAAATACCTGTGAATAAGAGTAATCCTAAAGAGGTGAGGGTGCTAGCCTGCACGAGGCCAACCTGCATTTCATCCCCGATACCCCATTTGGTCACCAATGCACCACCAGGACTGATGTCTATGTGCAGAGCCAGGAGTAAGCCCTGAGCACCACCACTGGGTGTGGCCCAAAAACAAAAACAGACAAAACAAACAAACAAAAAACCCCACCTGTTGGCTTCATTAATATAGAGACCAACTTAGACCAGCTTTTCATTCTGTTTCTATCCCTGGAACAGGAACCCACATGGATGAAAGGGAAACCATGGCCTCTAATTTTTGGTTCTTTTCTCATGTGAAAATGTACTAGTTTGGGCCAGAGCCATAATATAGTAGGTGAAGTGCTTTCCTTGTCTGCAACTGACCTGGGTTTCCTCTTCAGATGGTCCCTGAGCCCCACCAGGAGTGGTCCCTGATATAGAGCCAGAAGTAAGCCTGAGTAGTACTGGGTATGACCCACCTCAAAAGAAAAAAGGAAAGAAAAACCTAAGTACATATTTCCAGGCTCTTGAATAGCAAACTTCTGAAAGATATTATTTATTCTTTTTAGCATGCCTCCAAGTTCATATTTTCAAGTTACCCAAGTTCCCAGAGCCCCACCAGGAATTATCCCTGAGAGAATTAGCATTCAGTCCTGAGCACAGCTATGTGTGGACCCAAACCAACAACAACAGGAAAACCAAACCAACATAGAGAAATAAAGATTTATTATTTGGGGAAAAATAGTGCAGGTGTCACTTACATTGAGCCAACCGCGGTTGGATCCCTCGCACCCCATGGTCATCCCAGCACCAATGGATGTTTTCCTGATGAACACTGAGCCCCCCTTCCATTACCTCCCTGGGTGGCCTGAGAATTCCTCAAAGGTGGGCCTCTAGCAACATCGTGACTTCAGACACTGAAACAGATGCCCGAGAGCACCAAGTCCCAAAGAGAAAAAAAAAAAAGAGTTTTTCCCTGTGCCTATTTCAGGTAGAACATTGAAGATCCTTGGGAATTTTCTTCCGCCCTGAGGTCCCAGGGTTTTTTGTTTAGTGGTTTGCGGGATGCTCCTAGGACCTGAGCTGTAGCCTTCTGGAGCCCAACACCTGCAGGGTGAGGATGGGGCCTGTGTTCACTCACCCCTGCTCAGTGGTTTAGTCAAACCCACAGGAATGAAGCTTTCCTTTATTAGAGTGTGACCAGATTGTTTGAGGTGGGATTCGCAGAAGGTTTTGTCTCTGGGGCTAAAGGCAATGTGAATGTTTGGCTGTTATTCGTTTGCGGCATCCCCAGCAGTGCTGAGAACAAACCAAGGTGCTCTGGAGGCCAGGAAGGACCAGGAATTGCCCTACAATCCTGTCCATACCTGGAGCTCACCAGCCCTTTGCGCTCTCCCTGCAGGCTGGCATGAACTTTCATAACTTCGGATCATGAACTAATATGCGTTTGTGTATGTGTGTCTGTGCGTGTATTTAAAAGAAGAAACACCTGCACAGGATTCACTGTAATCATTTAGGGCTTTGGAGGAGATGCACAAGGGTATCTGGCGGGCAGAATGAGTACAAACACCCACATAGTAGTTCCTGGTTCACAGCAAGAAAACATGGGGACAGCCTGGAGTCAGGGGCGTGAAATAAGGCAAAGAGACTTCCTTGTGAAGTTTATAGGACTTTCAGCGCCGCTCCAGTCATAAGAAAGGACAGTGTCCTGGCAAACACGACCCAGCCTCTGACAGGAAGTGAAGCCAACATGTGCTCTGAGAGGCTCCGTACAGGAAGAGCATCAGAAGTAGCTTCACCTGCAACTCTCTTCTGGCAGCCTCTCTTTGAGGCCACAGCACCACTGGAAGGACATGGGAGAATTTTCATTCCAAGGGTGTTTCCCTCTGCGTCCTGCTCAGGTGCTTTCATGGGAGCCCTGGTAGTCTTTACATTTATGTCTCTCGGTTGGTGAAAATAAAGTTTTGCTGTTGTTGTTGTTGTTTGTTTCGGGGTCACAACAAGCAGTGCTCAATATTCACTTCTAGCTCTGCTAGGAGACATTTCTGGAGAGACTTGGAGGACCATATGGGATGCCAGGCATTTGAACCGAATTCATGTTAATCACATGTATGGCAAGCACCCAACCCACTATACTATCCCTCTGGCCTGGAAAAATGGTCTTAAAAGTCCAGGATGATCAATGGGATTCCTGATGTTCATGCCAATAATTTGTTGTTGTTTTGTTGTTGCTATTTTTGACACAAGCAGCTGTTCACATGGGTGACTCCTGGTTTGGTGATTGGGAGTCATTCCTGGTGGGGCTCAGGGGACTACGCAGTCCTGGGGATCAAACACATGCCTCCTCAGGCAGACTGTGAGCTCCAGTCCACTGATCCATTTTTTGACCCATATTTGTCTTCATGCTTTGATTTATCACCAGCAGGATTGGAGGGCTTGTGCTTTCTCTCGATTGTCCTCCGGATAGTAGACCAGGAGAGGGACACGTCTTTCTCAGTCCTTCTGTGTCTCTCAAAAAGTGACTGACCTTACACTTTCCCTGCAAGCACATATAAAATCTCCGGTTTCTACTGATATTTGAAAAGGAGTTTTAGGTGTTGAGTGAATTGATCTGATATTAGCCTCAGGAGGAGATGTCTAACCCTGCCTGCAGCTCGGAAATGCCTGAGACAGCAGCCCCCTGCACAGTAGACCGTTCCAAGGGTGCTCACAAACTCCTCATTCGGTGCTCCAGTTTCTGTGCTAGGTCTTTATCTTCACTTTCTTCTTGAAATTGGTCTACAATGTCCTATAGATAGGTCCAAGAGTTAATATAGTGGGTAAAGCACTTACTTTGCAAGCAACAGACCTGGTTTTGGTTCCCTTGGCCATATATGGCTCTCTGAGTGTCTCCAGGGGGATTCTTGAGCACAGAGTCAGAAGTAAGTCCTAGGCATCCAAAATGCCTAAATAAGTGTGGCCAAAATAAGTGTGGCCCCAAAATAAAACAAAACAAAAAGTTCTATATACATCTTGGTTCCTTCTCAGACTTAGCTTAGACATTTTATAGACAATTGACTCTTTTCCCAGAATTAGTCATTCACTTGCCAGAATTCACTAAGAAACTTCCCACTTCAGCAGCTAGAGATACACCACAAAATACTCCCCAATGGGCCAGCGTGATAGTACAGTGGGTATGGTGGTATTTGCATGTGGCCAAACCCAGTTAGATACTCGAGCACAAACCCAGGAGTAACTCATGAGCATAATCAAATATGGCCCTAACCTCCACCCCTCAAAAAAAATGTCAGTTTTTCAATAACCTGCAAACTAAAATGCTTTCAGGAGACACAATGATATCTATTAAGCACAGCATAATCTAGAGTTAGAAAAACTTTCTATTCCACAGTTATCATTGAGATACACTATAGCTTCACTATGTTGCATGGTGCCTTGATTTATACTCAACCAAAACTTTCTTATAACTATAGGAACATTAGAGGCACAACCCACTCCTTATAATCCTGAAAATCCATCTGTAATGCTATCTCTAAAGAAGACTATAGTGAATGGTTTCGAATTGACAGACTCTAATTACCACTAAGGCAGGATTTCTTTTTTTAAAATTTTATTTATTTATTTATTTTATTAGTGAAACACCATGAGGTACAGTTATAGACTTACAAATTTTTGTGCTTGGATTTCAGTTATACAATGATCAAGTACCCATCCATCCACCAGTGCTCATCCTCCACCACCATGTGTCCCAGCGTCCCTCCCATTCCCCATCCCACCCATCCCACCTTGCCTCAGTGGCAGGGTATTCCCTTTTGTTCTCTCTCTCCTTTTGGGTCCTGTAGTTTGTAAGAGAGGCATAGAGTGGTAATCATGTGTGGTCTATAGTCTAATTTCAGCATGCATCTCCCACCCTGGGAGAATCCTCCCAACACCCTTTATTTGGTGCT